ACCTTCCAGACATCCGCAAACTGCCATTTTTAGAAATGGCCAGCAAGTAATAAACGTCCCGGATGTCAGAGATCCCCCATCTTCCAATGGACTAATGAAGCCCAAATTTCCCAATCGCCACCGCCTGGGAAAGGGACCTTGTTCCAGTCATACCGGAGCCACCACAAATTCTACCACGGTCTTAGTGGTAGAATTTTGAAGGAGTGTGCAGCAGAGTTCACTGTGCCGATCACAAAACTCATTCGACTTTCGCTGAGCCAGGGCACCTTTCCTAGAGTCTGGAAACGCGCGTACGTTACCCCGGTTCACAAGAAGGGTGACCGCAAAAATCCCAGCAACTATCGCCCGGTTTCCCTCTTGCCGATTTGTTCCAAAATATGTGAGCGCATCATATGTGACCAAGTGATTCAACACGTGTCGCCCGTTTAATCCTCAGCACAGCACGGTTTTTTAGCAGGACGTTCATGCGAGACCAATCTTACCTGTCTTGTCGATCAGCTGTGGCGTTCGATAGCCGAGGGGGCTCAGACTGACGTAGTTTATACGGACTATTCGTCGGCTTTTACTAGTGTTGACCACTCTCTGCTTTTACATAAGCTACAGAAGTCATACCATTTGTCTGGTGCCGCTCTCAATTGGTTCCGTTCTTACCTGAGTAGGAGAGAGCAGAGTGTAGTGTTGAACGGCAAGTGTTCTGACTGGGTGCGTGTGAAGTCAGGAGTGCCGGAGGGCAGCATATGTGGGCCAATCCTGTTCGTCTTATTTTGCAACGACGCCCCTCTCGACATATCTTCTGGGTGCCTGATGTATGCAGATGATCTGAAATTGTACCGTCGCATTCGAACTGCTAGTGACTCTTTGGCTCTTCAAGCAGACGTAGATAAATTGTGTCTTTGGTCAGGTACGTGGAAGTTAGCTCTGAACCCATCTAAATGCAAAAGTATCACGTTCACACTTCGTGGAAAGCCTTTAGATACAACCTACCACATTGGCGGTACTGCACTGGAACGTGTGAGCCAGATGCGTGATCTTGGTGTTCTGCTTGACTCAAAGTTGACATTCGGCCCCCACATTGATGAACTTGTAAGAAAGGTAAACCGCGCCTTGGGCATGTACGAGGTCGCTTCAGAGTTATCGAGCTCCCGCCGGCCGTAGGCTACCGCCAGGACCTATAATGACAGGTTTCAATGCCCACATTCGTGCAATCATGGAATTCGGTTGCGTGATATGGGGCGGAGCAGCAAAAACTCATATTGCGAGATTGGAGCGTATCCAACACAAGTTCCTGATGTGGTTGGGCAGGCATTCAAACAGTCCATGTGCTTCTCTTGACTATACTGATCTGCTTCGTCATTTTGGTGTCTTGCGAATTGACCAGCGGCTTGTTCTGAATGACTTGAACTTCGTGCAGAACGTGTTCACCGGCAGGATCGACTCCGGTGACATTCTTGCGATGTTTTCACTCGCTGTACCATCGCGAACTCGTTCCAAGCCTGTGCTGTATGTGCCTGCAGCAAGGGTTGACACAATCAGAAACGGTTTGTTCTGTCGCTTGCCACGAGCTGTGAACAGTCTATGTGAGAAACGGCCCACTGCTGACCTGTTCGGATCCCGGGCGGCGTTTAGAAGTCAGGTGAAGGCATTCGTATCGAGTCTGTAACCTTATTTATACATGTGTTAGTTAGACATAGGTAGGTGTGTGAAAATGTGGCGTATATTTATGCTTGTGACTCCGTCTGTAAATGGGGTGCACCTGTGGACGGTATATTTCAATACACACAATACACAATCAAAATTATATGCCAAAGAACGGAATGAAAACAAAGTTTAATGTTCCGAAATAAATTATGGAAAGCAACGGCCTAACGCTCTTCCCATTCCAAACGTCCTGTACCACCAGAACCTACCACAGCGATGGCGCGTGCATCGGTCATCGGTACGCAATATGCGCCCGCCGGGGCGGGGCCCTAGGGGCAGGGACAGGGGGAGGGGCAGGAAGCCTGTCAGCTAATCTCGACTGGGCTACTGACAGGTGTCACATGAATAAACGACTACCCGTGGGCGGTCGGGACGGATAGAGTCGATGTCTTGTCAGTCGGACCGGTGCCGAGGCATGGGCGAGGCGCCGGCGACGGATATAGGATGCGCGATAATGCAGGATCCTAATGCGAGGATACAGGATACCTACAGCGGGATGCTGAAGGATACATAACTTTGAGTCTGAATATTCTGGGCAGAATAGTATGATTACCAGAGCGATAAAAGGAATACGAAAGAGACATGATATGGGACGAGAGAAGCGATACGGGAAGGCAGTAGAGACGGCAATGAGCTGGTAAATGGTGGTAGATCGATGTGAGAGTATGAGAAGAGAGAGAGAGAGAGAGAGAGAGAGAGAGAGAGAGAGAGAGAGAGAGAGAGAGAGAGAGAGGGCAGAGAGATAGAGCGAGAGAGAGCGAGAGAGAGCGAGAGAGACAGAGAGAGAGAGAGAGAGAGAGAGAGAGAGAGAGAGAGAGAGAGAGAGAGAGAGAGAGAGAGAGAGAGAGAGAGAGAGAGAGAGAGAGAGAGAGAGAGAGAGAGAGAGAGAGAGGCTGACAGGCATATGGTACTTTTATGAATAACCAAAAAGACACGCTTAGATGATGGATAGCCAGAAGAAAACCACAGTGAAATAATATTATTATTTAAAAATTGTGCACACTGCCGCTACACCGTTAGCAGCGGGTTCGAATAAGTGAGAAAACATCGCCGTAATTGGGCAAATATTTTACTTTCCTTCATCATTCAGTGGAGCTGCTGGCCGACGCTGTACCATGCTTACGAGGCTCATCCATCCTATCGAGCATTTACCCGGAATCCCCATATCGATTCCCCCCTCGAACGTGTCAAGTGGGTCCCGGCCAATGACCCTGAGGAGGGCTACATATTCAGAGGAGCGCCGCGCCCATGACAGCCGGTCGTACATTCATGTGACGTCACTTCCGGGGACCGCAGCGACCAATCGGCGGCCGAGTCGGTTTCAGGGAATGTGTCTCCTCTGTCTCACCACAGCTTCATCGCTAGGCCATCGCTCAGTCATCGCCTGGTCGCAGAAACCCTATCGCTAAGCAGATGTTCGGAATTGGTAGCGCCATCGCTCTACCCTCTCTGCGCAATCGTTTGGACATCGCCGCTCCAGCGCCCGCGTCTTTCCGGCGGCATCACAACCACCAACCTAATTCAGCACATCATCCAACGTCGCTTCATATCCGTGAACCACGGTTCAGCCATCGCTATTCCATCGTAAGGTAAGGTTATCAATGCTCTACCATCGCCTCATCGCCGCCCCATCACGGCTCTACCATCGCCCCGTCGCCGCCCCATCGCTGCTCTACCATCGCCTCATCGCCGCCCAATCGCTGCTCCATCGTCGCTCCACCGTCGCCCGTATCATGGGCATGATCCATGGCCACCTCCAAGCGGCAATGATAGCCGAATCGCGACGAGGCGAAAAAAAAACTGCTACGTGTAGCTCGTCTATCCACCGACTAACGGTGCATGATCTGTGAGCCAACGACGTGGTATGAATATAAAGATGAAGGAATAAACGCAATGACGGGAACAGAAGCGGAGGAGGGAATGAGAGAGGAGGGAGAGGAGAAGGAAAGAAAGCGGAGGAGGGGAAGAATGTTTTGCTATAGAATCAAGTGACTTGTGACAAACATAGATGGCGGAGAGAGAGTGAGAGAACCACAGTTGCCCCTGAATTAGCCATGTACTAATTACTATGTATGGGTACGAAAAGTCATCTCGAATCGTCCCTTGTCGAGATCCATCGCCGCCTACGGTGGCAAGTTGAGTTACAGGTTCAAGGTCAAGGGCTGGATATAATAAAGCACAGTCTGATGTCAAGTGGAACTGCCGAGGAATTGTCATTGTGCAGTGTCCGTTTACGCTATAAATAGACATTGCATGATCATTTGGTCTAGAACCAGTTTGTACAGGCCATGTAACGCTCCTCAAAATGTTCACCTTGCATGCTACTGGGCCGTCCTACATCAGATATCACGGACGGGCCACGTGAAATCAGACCGCCCCACCTTCACCGAGCACCCACTGAGTGCAGCGGTTACAGGCAACAGGCGCCACTGCGGAGCACATAGGGAAACGACACAGGCTGTGGGGCCTCCTCTTTGGCTGCATAAGCTGCCAGCGCTTACAGAAAAAGTCCGGGTTCAGGCAACTGCTCTGTGACCGAATATACTGCAAAACATTTGCAGAAGCAGCGTGGGTTCTGACATCAGCTCTCTGGCCACGGATATTGCATGATCAACAAATATACCGCCCAGTCTCTGGAACCCTCTATCCTACAGCATACAATGCAAGAACAACAAAGAAACCCAGACTCTGGAGCCTTCTGACTACATACCGGCGCGCTACCGACCAATCCGGGGACCAAACCGGTCATACCGTCGGTCAGAGTCCGGCTGAAGGTCAGTGCCGCTCATCAGCGGCCACGCACCCGCCCGCAGACGCCGCTTTATTGCTTGTTAACCGGTATAGGAGCGCACCGCCGGCGCTAGCTCGAGTCAATAAAGAAGAGGCTATCCAGGTGGTAGGCGTCGAGACGCGCACGCAGTGGTGGCGTGAGGATGTACGGCTTAGAAATGTGGTCGCCCGGTGGACTTAGAGCAGTCGTGCAGGGCAGCACGGCAGACACACAATTCCAATAATAAGGTCACTAAGTACAGACAGAGCTCGTACCTAGCCTCGAGGTCGATCACCGAGTAGAGGGCGGGGATTGTCACATATAAGAAACGCTGAGCCGCTGTCCTAACATCGCTAATAGTTCAAAGACATCGGTGCAGGCGTTGTCCTGCGTGCCACTATCTCTCGTTAATAATATAGCCAAATACCGGCTCAAGGACCTCCAACGCACACCTGCCAACGTTATTTCACCTGTTCTCTGCATATTTTTCATTTGGGAGCGAAGTAACAGACCGAGTTCACCTGAAGCTTACCTTGGCGGTGGCGAGGCGCGTGGTGAACCACATGACCTATGTTCCGCATCTTGTTCGCTGGATGTCACCCTCCGAGGAGTGACTCGCGGTCAACACAACCCCGTGACCGCTTTGCCAAGGCGGCGAAAGCACTGTCCCTTGCACGCAACGAACGCACCTGAGTCGCCACTCGCACTCCGCACGCAAAATCCGCAAACCCGGCTGACTGTCACGGGTTGGCAGGCGCAGGGGGTGGTTCACCCGCAGGGTTAGTGCTGTTACGAACCGGTTCAAACACCGCACGACTCGACCGGTGTGTGAACGGTGGTAGAGGGCTTTGTCCTGCGATTAGTGGCTCATACGAAGCACAATGTCCTGTGATTCGAGAGTTATCACCGACCAAGCACGCAGCAAGTGCAGTCTTTGAAAGCCTGGCGCCACCAGGCTGCTCTTTGCCCTTGATCAGGTCGGTAAATTATGCACTAAGTCCAAGAATATCTTATTTTCACTACTGCTGGTTTACCACTATCACCTAATCAAAGTTCACCCGAAAGTCCCATCGCTCAGAATCAGCACGTCCAACCGAACACTTCCGCAGTTCGGAGAGCTGGCCGTACAACTGACTGTTCACCACCAACCACACAAATGTACCACCGTCACTCGCCACACCCACACACGCTCGCCACACAACTGTGCCGTCCGCCGCACAGCTGCGACACTGCACGTCTCTGGCCTCCGTCACCCACACTGTCTCAGGCTGTTTCAGTTCTCACTCGGCAGTCGCCTCCTCCTGCGACCGTGGTCCAGCTCAGTGCCACCCTAGCGTGATTTCAGAGGCCACGGCAAAAACGCAGCACTCAAAGAGGCGCGATCTGCCTCATCACCCGAGTCCGTTCGTGACAACGGAAGACGTCAGAGCGCGAACGAGTGACCGTGATAGTCTGACAAGAGGTGACTGGCCAGACGAAGCGCAACAGGAGTCCACCACGCACTGCGGAAAGAAGCCCGCTCGAGGGACGAGTCGCACGCTCGGAGGAACGGTCGCTAGTCGCCGCGTCGCCGGTCTGCAGTGGCGGTCTGCGCGGTGGCTCGGGGGCGCCGGTCTGCACGGCCGGTCCGGCCCGGCCGGTCACGTGTTTGCCGGCGCAGCTGTGTACCAATGGAGGCGCGGCTGGGGCGTGCAGCGGCTGCAGCGCTGGAAGGCCACCGCCGGGCGCCGCCACAGCATACCGGTCATCACAACACTGCGGCCCATCCCGCAGATTCCACGCTAAGTCTCAGTGGTGACTGGTGCGCGCGTCTGGTGACAGGGCCAAAGCCGGGCTCCTGAGCGGAGTCCCGTTCTCCCGAGGGAAACTGTGATAGAGGGGAAGGTTCACTCACAGAACTTGAGGAAGGTAGAAGTGATAAGTTGTGTCGCTGAGTGGTAAGCTAGCTTCGAGGAGTGGTTTCACAGGTAAGCTGACTATTGAAAGCTGCATTCAGAATGCTAGCGACGTGAAGCCTCAAGCCATATCTTGTTGATCTCAAGCCACAAAGAACAAGCTTTCCTGCGACACATCTTCTTCTTCTTGCCACAGCAACAATTGTGACTGTCACTTCATAACATCGTTGAGCCAGGAATGCCATCGGCTCCCAGGTGCAAATGGGCCTGCAACTGAGCCTATCTTTTCCACCTATCGCCGATCAGAACAGAAGCCGTGCAAGGCAGGCCGAACAGGCCTCAGAGACTGCGGCGCTAGAACATAAACCCATCTCGATTCGGCCTAAGACAGGTAACATCACAGTCGACTTCAGTCTGCTGCAGAAGACTCAGACTGACTCCATCGGGACTCTAGTCGCATTGAGAAGTTCCAAGATACATCTCTGCATACTCTCTAGAAGCGAGCAAAGCAACTCCGACTGCCTGAGTAGCTCGGACTCCTGCTGGCGGAGACGGCCGACGCGGCAGCCGACGTTCGTGCCGTCGCGACCGACGAGGCTGGCGTCGCGACCGACGCGCCTGAGCTCAGCTTGACGTCATCACAGGTGAGATAGAGCTGACGAGGCGTCGGTTCGAAGGGGAGCCCGGTGACGAGACAGGGAAGGGGGATGAGCGGAGAGTGCGTGCTGGGGTTGTCAGAACTGCTGTGTCTAACTAGATGGTATCGGCAGAGCGAACAATTTAAAATAGAGATGGCAAAAGATGAAAATTTTGGGAACCAGACTCGAACCAGACCCGGCTGAACATTTCTGGAACCAGTCGGACCCGGTCTTAGTTGGAACCGGAACCAGTTGGACCCGTTCCCCAAAAGTCAATTAATACAAACTGCTTGCAGGAATCATTAGTTGCACCATGTAAAACAGCCTATTTCCCACTGGGAATACTCATGAGCTATTGTGTGCAAAGAAACATTCACTTAATTCCCTTCATATTTTGTAATAATGTGTAGTGTGCAAGATGTACAGTTTATGGTAGGACCCGGTTGGACCCGTCAGAAAAATTTCCAGGAACCGGTCTGGACCCATATGGGTCCAGACTGGTTCTTTGGACCGGGTCCTCGGGTCCACATTTTGCCACCTCTAATTTAAAATGTCGGAAAATTAATAGTTGACTAACGTAGACTAAGTAGTTGTTAACAGTTGTATTGCATGAAATTCACCAAGGGCTTGGTATCAACACTCCTGAGTTACTCCATTCCTCATATTTTTTTGTAAGATGTTACATATGTAACCATCAAAGCTTTGTGTGAAGCTAGTGTTTCAGTAACAACAGCTTCACAAGTCTCGCGAGGGCACCACTTGAATACCAAACAGTTGTGCAGTCTGCAGGATCTAAAGAACAGTGCTCTGCGCACTCATGCTTCTACGACAGCATGCAATTTGCAACGACAGCATGCAAAGCTAGCTATACAACAAAGGAAAAGTGCAGGTCACAAGACACCACTCACAAGACAGCACGGACAACCACATAACATCCGAGAAACATCGAGCGTTCCCCTTCCTCCTCGCTCCCTAGTCCCCACCCCATATCTTTCCCCAGTCAGCCAGTAGCTAGAGAGTTGGGGGTGGCGGGCGGGGACGGGGCGGAAGCTGCCGGGGTCCGCCGGACGACCGATGACCGATGACTCCAACCGAGGGTCAAGGACGAAACAGCGGGCGGGCAGAGGAGAAAGAGCGGGGAGCAGGGTAGGTCAGGGACGGGGGGCCACGGCGATATGGGCGGGGGAGGAGGGGGAAGGGGACGGGGGCGATCGTCCGACATCCACCGCCGCGCAGTTCCGGTCATCCTCAGACAGCTCCCTCATCATACATCGACCGGTGGTGGCCCCACCGCCGGCCACGGGCCTTCCTCCTTGGGCCAGAACCTCATTCCCCTCCAGTATCAACCCACCAGCGCTGTGTTTGCACACACAGCGTCGCGCGGCGTTTAACGACTTATGCTTAGCGCGTTTAGCGTCGCGTTCCGGATTATGTCTGCTTGATATAATTCAATAGCAGGAGCGGCTATGGTAGCAAAGTACCAGTGAGACCAACAGGAACTTCCATATTGTCAAATACAGCCGCATAATTACTACCGTTCGACGCTCTACAATGCAAACTATCCGTCTCGGTCTAACCGTCCACTAGGGGCCAGCTCAGCCCAACGCGACCATACGCCGACCCGGTGACCTTTTCATTCGGAGCTCATTAGCGAAATAGCGGTAATGCGACGGTTCGGCGTGGCTACCGGACGACCCATCGGTCCTCCCTGAGAGAGCTACGCCGGAAAGATAAATAGAGATACCGCCCAGGGCATGGCTTTGAGGACTGCGGAGGGCGGTAAAGTTACGACATATAAAATATCCTTTCTATGTAATATATAAAGTGTTCTTACTAGAGCGGGCTAAATAAAGTAAAAACAAGAGCATGGTGTGAAAATCGGTAAATGATTGAAGATACAAGTGTGCAGCGACAGCTCAGTTTGCTGGATAGTATCAATTCATTGATCTCACCAACTTAAAGATTCAAAGATATGACATGCGGATTAAGAAATCGTTTGACTTTCCAGTTACCTACGACTGAACCTTCTTAGGTAGTAGATTGTGCTCGCTTAGCTGAGACAATTTTTCTCAGCTTTGGCCGAATAATTTATCCCATATGAAATTGGAACCGTCCACTTTATGCACATCTTACAGAGGGTTATATTCAAGAGCTTTGTCCTGGTAGAGAAAGGCAGTATTTCTCAAGGGATGCAATATCCTTTCAGCAGATTGCGACTCAGCAGGTACTTCTAATACCTCCTTGGATAAATTTCGATTCAGACAGCACGGAAGGTCACCTAGAACAATGAAATGAGATGATCTGCACATTACGCAGCAAAACGGTATGATTGCCTCACTAATTCGCAGTAGCAAACATTTCAAAGAACCGGGACTAATCCCTCCACCACAGAAGCGTGACAGGCCGACAGATTGGCTCGTCTGCAAAAGGCAATTCGCAGCGGACCCGCCCATCGATCCGTTATGGACCGACCCAAAGGTCAACGGACGTGTTCATGGCTTTGGCACCCCCCACTATCCCACGGACTCTAACGCGAGGTTGAGCCGTCCGAGTTTCCAGGCCCTCGGGCCGGCGTCTCTCGCCCACATCCATAGCGCATGGGTGTGGATGGATAGGTTATCGTAGTCGGATAAGTCCTCCTTGTGATAAGTATTTGACGTCAGTCCGTCTGTAGTTATGGGGAAGCTGTGCGAGCCATGCGCGCTAGGCGTGCTGGGAAGACAGCGCGGTTCAGCAGGCAGACAAAGGCGGTAGTTAGGCATTTCTCAGTACAGCTCCCACCACTGTTCATCGCACTTAGCGCACTGTCCCGGCGCATTACGTTACGGATGTTACAGACATCGCGCTACGTTACATTACCGACTGCCTTTATGCTGCCCTCAACATTACCGACCGTGGCGTAGGCCAGATGTGCCCGCCCACGGTCAAACTCACGCTGTGACATTTGAACCGTTCAGCAACAGTTCTCTTCAGATGAAACTGAGTGCGCTTCTCGAGAGTCAAAGGTACAACAGTGCATTTATTACGGACGATAACAGCCCTGTGTTGTCAAGTTTGTGATACCTAAAATGCAAGGGAGGAGTAGGACGATATACATAATATACAGAAGGTACTTCAAAACGCGTCATAAATGTGGTTAACTGTCACGGTATCTTTTACCCATCTATGAAACTATATCAATTTAACAAACCAGCAGACTAAAAGCTGTAATATCAAGGCTAAGAGTACTTCTCGAGCATTTGACGCTGGCTGCTGAGTGACGCAGCTCGCTAGCACGCAAGTCGGCAGAGTAGCATTGTACTCGTATTGATCGCATCCTATTCCAAATATTCCTGGTCAAACCATTTCAAGATATTAACGACAGACATTGACCGCTAGAGCACAATGCTTTGAAGAAAGGAATACAAACTAACCACACAACGAGCGAACAAGTCTTATGAATGGACCATCACGAGAAACATTTCAGACCCTTCTGCCAGCATAGTTGCAGATTCAGCTGCAATAACTGCTCAAATCTCAAGAGAAACGGGTCACTTTATATCCCGCAGCAGGGCTAAGATTCTCTTCAACGACAAATCGTTCTGCCATTGAGGATGCATATCCCTGATGTGATAAGCCTCCGGCGGCCAGCAAACAGGACAAGGAAAAACCGAAAAAGGTCAGCGCCAAACAAACAGCCCTGACCACATCGGACAGCGCAGATGATGTAAGATTTACGGCCCGTTCCACCAGCATGGCACCCCTCGCCGCGGCGACCATTGGAGACGCCTTGCGACGCTGGCTGTTCGGGCCTGCAGCGTCTGGCGACCTCTAAGCCGCTGCCTAATCCTTGGCTGTGTGGTGACGTCACAGAGCGTGCTGACGTCACAGGATGTTTCAGAGGGAGCGTCGCGCCCGTTGGAGCCTCCGTGGAGGTGGCAAAACGCAGGCGAATTTTCAGACATTCAGCAAAATGATGGGTCAGATTTAGTCCGAGTTATTTATATGAAAAATATGCAAATTTTGCTCAAAGGCCGACATGCATGACGC